CATTGCAGTTTTTGGTTTTTTGGTGATGGGAAGAGGAAAAAACGCAAATCGTGTCTCTGCTGCTCTGTTGTTTAGCCCTTATCAACTGTGTCCTCCCTGGTGGCCTATCCTTCTGCAGGGGAGACTTCCATTGTAGCTGGAGCCCACTGTGGTCCTTCCGTGTCCCATCTGTTATCAGCAGGATGATTTCAGCAAATGTGATGATGAGTGTGAGAATATTTGCAGTAGGATTTGACCAAGAATTTAATAAAATTTGCCTGTGGTCTCTCTTCTTTCATCCTAGAGGTCAAGTGGTTCTGTCACATAGCTTGATGCTCATGTCCCTCATGGCTTATTCAGGCTTTCTGCTTTGCTCTTTGCCATTGAATTGATTTGCAGACTTGCTCAATTGATAGTAGTGTGGCAGTTCTTTGATCTTTGCTATTGCCACTGCCTTGCTTTTGCCTGTGGGACACCTAAGCTGAGGTGCAAATTACAAGCTGGTGGAGTGCAAGAGGAGAGAGGTGGAACAGTGTATCGGTTCAGTCTGAGAGAATAGAGAGCCATGGGAAGAGCAGGATCTAACAGTGACTGGAACAGCATGGGGGAGAACTCCTCTGGGGATTTACATTTACTTCAAAAAATGTCTTTTTCCCCAAGTTGTGAAATTCAGGAATTGATGTACATGCTAAGAAAATAGTAGCAATTGTAATTTGGTTTATATCATGTGAAAATGTTATGTAAATATATTGTGAAAATTCAGAAAATGCGTAATGTTAATCGATCTATTAGATTATGGCTAAGTTGTTTAAATTTATTCTTTACTAGCTAAAAGAAATTATATCTCTCTACATTGTATTAATAAAAAATAAAAGGTAAATAAAAGGTTACCAATACGAAACTTTATAATATATAAAGCTTCCTAAGAAGTAGCAAATTAGGCAGCTCTGCGTCTGTCTTGATAGAAAATGTGGCAACCTATTTAAATTCCGTACTGTTCTAGAAGGTTATATAGATACTTGGTAAGTAAATGTTACCTTAGATGCTTTGATTTCAAGTTGCAACAATATTATCGAAACTAGTGCTGTAAACAGTTTGTTGATAGATACCTGTTCAGTTGGTATTTGCTTGCAGACTGCAATTAACAGTTCAGTGTTTTTTGATTATGTGCTCTCTACCCATAAAGTAGGCATAATTATCGCTAATCAAGACCCCTAATCTCAAGCAATTATAAGGTCTTACATTGTTCTAATTGCACATTGAAAAACAATGCGTTTTTCTCATATAATTATGTTATAATCCACACAATTATTAATTTCTGATTTTCTTTTTATCTGATCAATGTTAATTTTGTGTGACCTCACATGTTATCTGAAAAATGCCTTTGAGACATGGAATTTTTGTGGTTAATTTATGGTTATGTTTCGTCTTCAGTGAGAAGTGATGTAGTGCAACAGGTTTTCAAGGCTGTGCTTTCTCTCAGCCATCTATGAACTCAGTAATTTGTTATAAACTAGGAACTTGTTAGTGAAACAAAAGTGCAGTTATACATTTAAATCATCTACTATTTGTAAATCCAGGTGCTTGCTCTTTGAATAGTATTCAGGTTAGCACAGGCTACTCCTTAAGTGTGTAAAAGAGCTTTGTTTAGGTTTTTTAATTGCGAAGTGGAACTTATATGCAGACAGACAGACTTTCTGGATCAGCTTCCCAGAAAGTGAAAATGAAGGCAGTTCAGTTTTAGAAAGCATTGCAAGTCTTGGGGACAAGATGTGAGAGGTTGTTCACTAGTTGATGTTGGTGTCACTTGTTGCTGTGTAGTTCTTATGAGCACATTTTGTATGCAAGGGCTTTGGATGAGTGCATTTTGAACAAATCTTCATCAATCTGATGATTCATCTCAGGAACCACATGCAGCACTTACATCTGTAATTGGGGTAATTGCAAACCTCTCATTCTTACAGATAGAAATTCTTCCTCTTATAATTCTAAAATCAGATCCCAGATCTTTTACTGTGGTAGCTGAGACCTACACTGACTTACATTTATTTCTCTATTCTTATTTGTTACATCATTAAAAGTAGCAGATGATTTGGTGACCTTTCCAACCTGTCTGACCTTCATGATTCACTTGTGCGAGTAATTGGCTATTGAAATTACTATGCTTTTATCTTTGACGTTATTTAAACACTGGTTTAAATGGAGTGACACAGATGGCATTGTAAATGGGTAGCCACATTGTTGGGGACAATGTGTTTTTCTTTATCTATTGTCAGGAAAGAATATTAATGTCAGGGGGTGGAGCTCTGTCTTTTCTGAGAGATCTTGGCATTCATGGAGAGGAGGTGTTGGAGATATTGCTCTGTCATAAATTGCCCAACTTTTTTCCTGTAGTAGAGTGTGTATTTCTGAAATCTTTCTGGGGCTGCAGTGTGCTGCAGTGGGTTCGTTTCATTATTCCTTTGAAAAGAAGGAAAGGCACACAGCTAGCTATTTCTACGCAGGAGAGGTCAATGTTTAATATGCTAATGTATCTACTCGATATTAGGCTGCAAAAATCCATGGCTTTAATGTGACTTTAATAGTAATAAAGTATTTAGCTAATGATAAATTAAGAATTGTAAGTCTGGGCAGTTTTTTAAAAATAAAAACTTAATATAGGCAGGAATAATTTTTCTTGCCAAGATAATGGTCATACTGGAGCATAGTAGCTGCAATTTGCAGTGGAAATTGCTCTGGGACTGCTAGCCTCATAATAATACTCAATGTGAAGAACCAAATTTCTGATTTTTCTTTTGGCTTAATGTAGTTGGACAGTAATGGGACAGATTGGGGATGCTGTATTACTCTTTGCAGGTGTAGAGCTATATGTTCCAAGATACCGAATCCAGAGGCCTCACTGTTCACCGGAGCACAAGAGATAGTTGTATGCACACAAGTATGGTTGGCCAGAAATCTACAGATTACAATTTGCCTGTGACCCTCTTCCTAATCTGTCACCTATTTTCAGCACTATACTGGCTGGCAGAAGAATGATGTTTGTGGATGCCTTGCGCTGCTGCAGTGTCCTACCAGTGGGATTTTGCAGTTTTGGAGGTCCTGGGTTTGGTTTATCTTAGGGAATCTGGTAAGAGTCCATGTAGGTAGGACGTAAGGTAGCAATATTGTAGGGTTGTGTTTGCATCTACATAGCAGAGAGCAAAACAGGACATAGTTATGGAAAGGTAATGCTGTTCAAATACAAATTCTTATGGATTAAGGAGCATTTATAGTAAATCTGTTTTTTTAAAACATTTCTTCATTCTTTAGTACTCATTGTGTCAGACTTCCTGGCATGGTTTATCTCAGGCACAAGTTAAGGATAAACAGAGAAATAATCTATACTTTTCTAGTCACTGTATCCCTATTCATAGTGTCCACTTTAAAAAAAAAAACAACCCTGAGTTTGCACATTTTTATGTATATTTTTTTATCTGTCTGTACAGAGGAGTAGTTGGAAAAGGGGAGAGCTGGTCTGTACACAAACTTATAAAAAGAAAAGAAGCTATACAGCATCAAGAAGGAATTCTGTAGAGAATCAGCAGTGGAAAGGCCTTGAGCAAGTCTAAAATTAAATTGCATCTCTTAATGATCAGGGAAAAGACAGTCCTGTAAGTTTCTCTTGCACATTATCAAAGGGTTTTTGTCGATCATAAAACCCTAAAGCATCTTAGTTGGCTTAAGGATATCTGCCTATAACACTGACCTGAATAAATAGCTGCATTCTCAAAGGAATGAATGGAATGAGGAAACTTTTATTTTAAAAAAGAGGGTGTGAGGGAGGAAATAAACAGCAAAAAGGAGTATTTAGATTACACAAAATATTATTATGATTTTTTAAAATAAATACGACTTCTCATTTATTTTTATCTCTAGTGGAAGAGATGTGATACTGACAATTTGCTGCCTGTTTTGGGGGAAAGGAAATGATAAAGAGGAAGAACTTCCTTAGCAAGCCAGAGCACTTCCTGGTGGTTATTGGCACATCTGCCATCTAACTGTTCCCCTCCCTTTACAGCCAGCCTCTCACATATCACTGACCTGGTTCATAACACAGGAAAGCTCCCCTTGAGGCTTCCTGTGCTTCCTTTTTGTTCAGGGCTGGATTGGCTGGAAGAACCTCTGCAAGCCATCAAAACATGACTATTGAGACTGCCACCAGCCTGCTGTTCTGTCTTGGGCTTTGGCAGGCGGATCTTCTCAAGTCCTGTGTGTTTTCATCTGTTTCTCTCCACACCTGGAAATACTGCCTTTTTTTTTTCTTTCTCATGTTTATTCTTAAACCCATCTTGATGAACCAGCTGGCTTCATAACTGTGTCAAATGAAGTCAGAAGGGCTGTGCAGCAGTCTGCCTTTGAGGGCTCTAGCTCTTGCCTCAGGCCTTGCTGTTCTTCTGCCTGAAGAATATAAAACATAATGTGAGTTTTTATGTATTATTAAACTTACATCTATAAATCACTGACCCATGGTTCCTGTTTATTACATATTCCATCTTCTGCTTTGATGCATTGTTGTTGTCACACTGAGGTGGGTAATGATGACTCGGCTTACTACTGTGGTAATGCACTTAAAGCTTGGAAATCTGTCACTGATGGCATTTCAACACAGGCGCTGTAAACCAGAGACGAAATTTGAAAGTATTTGCTGTCAAGCTATTTGTCTTAAAATTTTTGTGTCTTCTATTGTAGTTTTGTAAGGTTTTGGATACTACTGAATTGTTTGGTGGATGAAGACAAATGGTTGTATTTCAGGAACTTTGTGTTGCAGGACGTGCCATCACAAAAATAGGTGGTGATCCTCAATTTGTAGTACTGAAGGTGACCTATAAAATGCTTGTGCTGATCAGGCCTTCCTAACAGAGCACCGATATTGCATGCGTTTCTGTGGGCCTGGCGTTTCCAGTCTTAAGGCACAGTGGAACACAGACTGATCATCACAACTTACTGTGTATTATATCTATTGTTTTTCTTATTTTTTACAGCCCTTCTGTACGCAACCATTTTTGGTAATGTGACAACCATATTTCAGCAAATGTATGCTAATACAAACAGATATCATGAAATGCTGAACAGTGTCCGGGACTTTCTAAAGCTCTACCAGGTCCCTAAAGGACTGAGTGAACGTGTGATGGATTACATCGTTTCCACCTGGTCAATGTCCAGAGGAATAGATACTGAAAAGGTAAGTAAATTAAACTGCAAGGAAAGAAGTCACATCCTGAAAGTATTTCACTAAAATAAACAGGAGGTACTTTCTTAGTAAAGAAGACAAATATTCTTTAAATAGTTCCAAGTAGTAGCTTCCCTTAACCTTAAACTTTCAAATACAGTATTTCAGTTATTTGGTCATACTGACGTATGTTAGTGGTAAAAGGATGTGTGTTTTGCTTGTGATATGGCTTGAAATATTATAAAAATAATGAAGGAAAGAGCTTGGTTTTCAGTAAATAAAGATGATAACTAAATAAAAAGTTCCAGCTTCTAACACAACCTCAGAATTTCTTCAAATGAGATTTTTTTTGCACTAGCGAGACCTAGACAGGCTTGAATGCTGGGCAGAGGGGAACCTGATGAGGTTCAATGAGGGCAAGTGTAGGGTCCTGCATCTGGGAAGGAATAACCCCATGCACCAGTACAGGCTGGGGGTTGACCTGCGGAAGAGCAGCTCTGCAGAGAAGGACCTGGGAGTTCTGGTGGACGGCAAGTTGACCGTGAGCCAGCAATGTGCCCTTGTGGCCAACGCGGCCAGTGGTATCCTGGGGGGCATTAATGACCAGCAGGGCGAGGGAGGTCATCCTCTCCCTCTACTCTGCCTTGGTGAGGCCACATCTGGAGTACTGTGTCCAGTTCTGGGCCCCCCAGTTCAAGAGGGACAGGGAACTACTGGAGAGAGTCCAGCGGAGGGCTACTGAGATGATCAGGGGACTGGAGCATCTCTACTACTGGAGGGATGGAAAGGCTGAGAGACCTGGGACTCTTTAGCCTGGAGAAGAGAAGACTGAGAGGGGACCTTATCAACACTGACAAATATCTAAAGGGTGGGTGCCAAGAGGATGGGCCCAGACTCTTTTCAGGGGTGCCCAGCAACAGCACAAGAGGCAATGGGCACAAGCTGGAGCACAGGAAGTTCTGCCTCAACATGAGGAAAAACTTCTTTACATTAAGGGTGACAGAGCACTGGAACAGGCTGCCCAGGGAGGCTGTGGAGTCTCCTTGCCAGGAGATATTCAAAACCTGCCTGGATACAGTCCTGTGCAACCTGCTGTAGGTGAACCTGCTTTAGCAGGGGGGTTGGACTAGGTGATCTCCAGAGGTCCCTTCCAACCCCTACGATTCTGTTATTTCTGTTGTATGAGGCTGTTTGCAGCTCTGTGGGCCTGAATACAAAGTAAAATTTGTTTTGTCTTTGTAGAATTTGAATGTAATGTTCTCTGTGCAGGTTAAAGATATTAATGAAAGCTGGAATATATGTATTGTTTGATATACTATAACAATGTATTGTTTGAAATCTGCCATGTGAGGCCAATGTTATCACACTAATTCATTGAATTTACAAGTAAGTTCCCATTTTGTCTTTTAAAATTACAAATGGCCCTTCACCAGAACAAATGTACAAAAGCAACTACTTGGTCCTTTCATATTAGTTGCCAACTTTTATGGAGATAGATGCTATTTTTCTTCTGCTTGTAAAGAAACATGATTTGTGGGGTGGTTCATTCAGGAAATCATGCTCTGGTCACCAGCCTTCTGGTTGGTAGCTTAATTTAGTATTCTAAACTGTAGATGATGCAGTTAAAGAGCAAACAATCTCATTTCTGTCTAGCTGTTAAAGCATCGTTATGAAAAAGTAAAACAGATGGAGCCTTGCACTGCGCTGTCTGGACACCAATGAGTACACAGGGTATCGTTTGCTTTCCTAAAACATCTTCACCGTATCTGCCATTTACATCCCAGACCATGATTCTGGGAAGCACTGTCTGTTATACTAGCTTTCAGAAAGAAATGATGTTTTAGTACTGGATAGCGCTGATTAGAAGCTGCTCTGCCCATTTTCTCACAAAATATCTTTGTGTGGCGTTATGGGTTTGAGGTAGGTACATTTGGGGAAGGTGGAGACAACATCTGAGGATAGATAGTGCAATGAATGCTGGTGCTTTCATTCACCCCCCAGTACAAGCTTCTTTCATCATTTTAACAAAGCAACAAGAAAAAATAACTGTGTAAAACATGTTTGGTTTAGCTTATCTTCAAAGTTCATTCTTGGCTTCCTCTGATAAGGAGAGAAATGCTTTAAGAATGCCTTTGGAGACAGCAGGATAACCAAACCAAGCACAACTCACTGTAGCCTTTGAGAATTATCTTAATAAATGGGAAAAAAAGTCTCCAATTATCAGGACATCAAAGAGCTTAATATGGTGTTGTTTTCAATAACTTATGTGTTCATAGCTGAACTGCCAGTAGTGATGACTGTGAAACCAAGAAATCAACTTTCATCTGCATCACAAAAGCTAGCAGATACAAGACCAACTATTGGCTGTGCCAATCTGTAACCTTTCAGCTCTGAGCTCTGCTGGTTTGCCTGTGTATAACTTCTAGGATGTTGTGCAATGAATAAAACATGTATTGCTCCTGTGACAGAACAATGGCAGTTGTGCTGCTGTGTAATGCAGTGCAGCTTTCTACAGATATGGCATATATTTAAAGATGAACTTAGCACAGAATCCATCTTCTCACTATTTTGTAGGCCACAAATTTGTCAGCTCAGTGTTAACTGTAGGCATGCCAAGGAGTGAATAGTCATCTAAAAGCAAAGTCTGTAAGTCTAGAAAACAAAATTTAACCGAAAGCTGCTGAAAGATTCTAAAATTAATCCATGAAAATATATTTCTTACTTCCCATACAAATGAAAGTCTTCTGCCTTTGTCTATAGCTCTCAAATGCCTTTAGTCCCTTTAATTTTCGTGAAGTCTGGAGACAACTTCTCTAAATGGAGAATGAAAAATGAGTTAACTTTCTCTTAGACTGGGAAACCAAGCGGGTTCTGGATAAGAGCCTCGTTTTAAATATTCTCTTGTATATTCAGGTTTTCTCACTACTATTTGTATTAAAACAACCCTTTTTGTGCATGCTATTCAAGTAACTGTGAAGTGTGCATGTGTAATTCTAGTACCAAATTTTGGCGAGCATGTGCAAATATAGAATGTATTTGTTGCCAGAGTAAATGAGATAATTGCAAAGACACCTATGGCTGCTGCCTGTGTTCCACGTTAAATGTTGGTCTTGCTGCCCCAATGCATTTCTGTGAGCCTGGAAAACAGAAGATTTGACTGCTGCTGCCTGTGGGGCAGCCGAGAGACATCATCCATGAGTGCCCTACGCTTAAGCACTATAGAAATATATCTCTTTCAGAAGTCATAATCTGTAATAGCAGGTCTGCTTGGAGGTGGGCCAAAGATGATGGTATTGGTGGTAGAATCATTTGCCTTTGGAGTAGCAAGCATAATATCTGGAACGAGTGCTGTGCATAGAGTTACGAGCTTGGTTCTCTACTCAGATCTTGCACAGAGTCCCATTGCAAGGTGAAGGCATAGCCATAATGCTTCCTGTGTAACCTTTATGTTTTCCAGGAGTGTTTGCATTGAAGCACCCATCTCTTTCCATCCAGAAAATGTATACGAGTAACTCTGAAGCTCACCCAGAGCTCTTCTTGATTGGATAGAACAGTTGTTACTGAGAATAAAAAATGAGGCAGACTTACAGTACTCAATGTTTTTCTCTAATAATAGGTCCTGTGATGTACTTCATCACAGATTAAACTCCAAGGATTTTGTCATCCCAAAGCCCTGTTCGTGTTATGTATTTCCAGTGTTTTTGCCAGCATCTGTACGTGCAGTAGTAATTCTGTATTCTTTCCACTTGGCTGTCTGTATTGTATTAAAAACCTTCAGAAATGGCCCTGACTGGTACCCGCTGTGCTAAGCATCAGTTTGTGTACCCTTAGGAGCACACGTCGTGAATTGCTGTGAGGAACACTGCATTTGGAAGATCAAAAGTTGCCCAACACAGTATCATACCTTAAAGCCCCTTTCTTATGTGAGCAAAAAAACTTGTTGCTGCCACTGAGGGGTGAATTTGAATACCTTCAAATCTCAGTATTATGAGTTAGTGAAACTTTTAATAACTTTTTTTTTTTTTTGCGCTAAAGGGATATGAGATTACACATCTCCTCTCTCCAATGTTCTCTCACTTGGAGCATATAATTTGTGCAGGCTTTTCATGCAGTCTGCCTATCAAAAGTGTGACCTACCCTCTAGAAACGATCCTTCAGGAACCTTTTCTCCACCACTTTCTGTACCACTGTGCTCTCAGTTTTATTGTCTTAAAAACCTGAGGCCTTATGCTGGTAATTCAATATCCAGTAGAGCATGTTGCTGAGATGAAAACATTATTTTCCTTCAGGTGTTGTAAAGTAGACTTAGTTAGTATTGTGGCTTATGTGTATAAATAATATAAAAATAAACGTACAGACTGGGATTATAAATTTTATAAGACAGAGGAAAGTAGTTCTTAAACCCTGTGTAGTAGGATTAATAGGGATAATAGGCACATATAAGCCATGCACAGAAATTTATTGCCTAATTTTCTTCTCAGGTTTTGCAGATATGCCCTAAGGACATGAGAGCAGATATCTGTGTGCATCTGAACCGTAAAGTTTTCAAGGAGCACCCAGCCTTCAGGCTGGCAAGCGATGGGTGCCTTCGAGCACTTGCCATGGAATTTCAGACAGTGCACTGTGCCCCGGGAGACCTGATCTACCACGCAGGGGAGAGCGTTGACAGCCTTTGTTTTGTGGTTTCGGGGTCTTTGGAAGTAATCCAGGATGATGAAGTCGTTGCTATATTGGGTGAGTTTCACAGCTGATAATATGCACTGTGCACAAATATAGATGCGTAGAGCATTTTTATAGCTGCTTCTACTCAAGCACTTAACTCATTCTTTAAAAAGCTTCAGTCAAGTTAGCTTTACCACAGCCTGGTGGGGTATACTTTATCGTCCTTCCTGTTCCGCATAAGTAAATAAGAAAGGCCATCATCTCATCTCCAGATTGCTTCAAGCCTATTTCTTCTGGTCAATGGAAACTCTACTTGAGCATTGAGATCCTGGTTATTCTTGGGTTTCTCCCTGTCTCGCTACACCTCTTTTCATTAGAAATTCCATTGAGGACTTCAGAAAAGGAGGCTTCCATGCCTCCTTCCCACCCCCCGATAATAATCCACTTTTGCTGAAAATTTTCCAATTAGATTTAGTCAAGTTCTTATGGTGAAATAGTATTTTTCTCTTTTAAAGTCAACATAATATAAAAATTTAGAGCCAATTTGTATTAACTTGGAATGACAGCTTTAGGTTAGAGGCATTAAAAAGAAGCTGATAGTGGTATGAACAACATTCTGAGGCAAAGCTGGGAGAAAAGAGTGTGATAATCCAATAGATGTAGATGAATCATGGGGTGGCTGGAGCATTGACGAGGTGATACTTATCATTTGATTCTGTCAAACCCTTTTGTGATAAGGTAAATTCTCACAGTGGCTTAATCCAGTACCTGTCACTCACAACAGCCTGGAAAAAGAGAAGACGACAGCTTGGTAATCTTACTGTTTCTGAGCACATACACCCAACTCTTGTAAGAGGAATGTCTACTGGAAAATGGGGGGGCTAATAAATATGCTGAGTTCAGTTTTTATCTGCTTCTGAACAGAATTGCAGATATAGCATAGGGTGAAATTAGTGTACTGGGGAATCAAGTTTATAGTATTTTGTGCCACACAAGAAGCTAAAAAAGTGAAAAGTAGGGGGATAACTGATTCTCTTTTGTTCTGGAATCACCAGCACTGTTCAGTGCTATATGGTACTAGCAACTTCTGCTTTTCTAAGTTGCACATCAAGAACTTACTACCTTTTGCCGTGTTGAGCTCTCATGAATTAACACGGCAAATGTAGAACAAACTAAAGCCTCTCAGTTTGTGTCACGTTTTATCCCATAATGCCACCTCTTGTGTCCATCACAAGAATAAAACATCTTGCTGCTCTATTTAATCAGTATAGGTAGAAAGCACTGAAATAGATTATTTTTTTTAAATGTCTTTTAAAGATACCAATTTTATCCTCGTCTTTAGCAGTAACTTCCATGTTTTATCATATTACTCATTTTAGAAAACACTCGGACTAGATTCCTTGAGAAATCAGTGTTAAGGAAACCTGAAGCCCTAATCTCTGCTGCTGCAGAGTGATAGCTATGGATAAATGAGGCTGATACCTTGGCATCTGAATTAATAGAAATATTTTGTTATTGCTGTTCTCCTGGGATAGTAACTGTTGATCGTCTTCCCTCCACACCTTTGTTTTTTGGATTTGGAGTCAGTTCTCTGACTTGCACCAAAGTTGATGAGCTCTGACATTTTCTTTGTGAATATTGTAATCGGAGAGAAAAGTAAAATGAAGTGGGATCTGTTTGTGATTCTGTGAGAGTTCATTTTGGATAAATGTGTACCAATTTTTGTGTTTCAGTTTCTGGACTAAGAAATCCCTTTTCTTCCACAGGTGTGTACACTTTCCTCCCCCAGGCTGTGAAGCCTTCTGTTGAATCCTGATAAGAAATTATGTGATTAACTAAGTTTTTTGCTATTCTAAGTCGGTTGGACTTTCTTCTCCTTCAGTATTGTCTAGTGTAACCACTACATTACTAAAGGATGATGCAGGAAATGGGTCAGGATTTCCTCCTTAAATTCTTTGAACTCTGTTTTCTTAGTTGTAGAATAGCAATGGTTTGTTTGTTTGTTTCATGTTCAGCTAAACTTGTCAAGTTCTTGATAAAAGTACACCAGATGAAACGAGGCGCTACAAGGAAAAAAAATTACTACGTTGAACAAAACCCATGATTGTTGCTGATCATTCAGCCAGAACATCCTATGCCATAAGTGTTGTTTAGCAATCACAACTAAGCATAGCTATGAACATCAGGCATGTAACAGCAAACCATGTGAGGAATTCTGTAGAGTAATTTCAGTTAACAGGTATGTCAGAGAGACCATAATCTTCTCTCAGACATTCTTGAAATAAAAATAAAAAGTGCGTCAATTATTCAAGTTGAATTATTTGCTCAGCTTTAGCTGTCACTTAATAAAGCAGCCTTTGCAATTTGCAGTGTAGCCTGTGTCTTCCTTACAATAGAGAAATAAATTGCATCTCTAAATTAGTTTGTGTGACTGCTGTGCAGCATTACATAAACGAAAGGCAAACTACGCTTAATCCTTGAAGAATCCAATTCATATGAAACGTTTTCAAGTTCTGAAATCATTTAGCCTTACAGACTAGCATATAAAAGCGTATTGTGTACACTTGCATAATATGCTTCAGATCAGCTCTGTGTAATACCCAAGAGACAGGTATATTCTCAGTTCAGGCTTATGTTCTTATAACAAAGCATTGACTTTGATTGACTTGGATTAATACAAGTACTGAGTTGGAAGAAACTGCACACAGGCCAGCAGTGAAAAAATTTACATTTTTTCTTCCCCCCCCCCAGATTGCCTTCCCCATTAATTTGACTTAGAGACAAAGGCAAAAATAATTAATTAAAAAAAAATTCTTTGCAATGTTTAGTGTAAAAATTTAAAGAAATTGTTGTATTTTGTATAAAGTTTGATTTGTTGGGATAGAAGACATTTTTGAATTCTATCCAAAATTTCTGCTGAAATAAAGTACTGGTGTTCCTACAACACAGTCTTTGGATTTGATGTGTCAGAGGAACAAAACCAAAAAAGTAGAAAATTACCTTTAAGCCAGGTGATATATTGATTTGTGATTCATTCTAATATAAATGGGTCAGAGAAGGAAGATATAGCAAGAAAAGTCACTGTATTACTATGGTTTATGTTAACGTGTAAGTATGAGAATGGGACTATGTGGAAGTGAAGATTAGCTAGTGGGAAGCTGCTTGGATGAAGTACAATTCCTGTAGTTCACTGTTCTTCCATTTCCACCGTTGTTATTGCATAGAGTGAAGCGCTGACGTACACTCAGCACTTTGTGGAAAAGAGAGACTAATCACATAGTCCCTGCCCTGAAGAGAACTGAGTGAAGCACAGGTCATGCAGGACTTCCATTAAGAGACGGTTTTCAGCTTGGCTTTGCTTTTAAATTTTCGAAGCCTTCCCATTTGGGCTGATGCTGCTTTATCCATCTGAGACTGGCATATCTCTCTGAACTACTCTTGCTTAAAAACTTACCCATTTATCCAGATGCGGTTAGAGAAAATGGATTATTTTCTCACTGTTAAAAACAATCAGCCATTTACATGCATTTCATTTGGCAGCTCTAGTTTCTCTGCTTTGGAGCATACCTTTCAGGATGAGCCACGGGCCATCTGGAAACCTGACCTTATCGCAGGTCTTTGAAAAGTTAAAATTTACTCATGCTCAGGAGATATTTGCTACATTTTAATTTAACAAATATCTTCTTAAAAGATTCCTCCTGAATTAGATGTGTTCCAGGCAGGGACCATAAGGTCTGGCTGCAGCTTTCTTTGAAATATGAAGGGGAAAAGGAGTTGTAGCAGAAGTGTGGAGTAAACCTGCATAGCTAGTTGTTTCTTAATTTAGGAAAGCTTGAAGACTTAAACTGTCTTTCAGTGCATTTTTAGTATTTTTTTTTTTTTTACACTAAAAAGGTACACATTTCCTTAGTGCAGTGTGAGAACATAGATTGGAACTGCGGTAATCAAGAAGCTAATGTTAGAAGACCAGCTGAGCAGATGATAGGCCATTGCTGGGGCTAACAGGGTACTTCCCTGGTCCTCTAGCCTTTTAGTCTGGACCTTTTTAATCTCTCCTCACCACTGCTAGAGGGAAGTGCTAGTTCTTGTGTTATGTCTCCAATTGCGTGTGTGCATAGATAATTTAAAGATGATTATAGAAAATACTGCCATAGTAGCAAAATTAACTTTTCGTAAGTATTTTCTGGAAACACACAGAGGGGCTGGATAGGCGGCCTTGTTAGAAAAGGATTTATATTGTGTTAATGTGTACATAGAAATATCTGAATGACCTAAGAAAAACATTTTTGATCTTACTAGAAAATGATAAATTCTAAGTTAGATGTGACTGACATAATTGTACTCCAGTATTGAAGAAAAAAATCTCTCTTCTCTAGGAAATCTGAAGGAAGCAAGTGATTTTGGGACTGGGGTTGGTTCCAACCCTTTCTGCTTGAAAATGTAGTAATCTTTGAAATGCAGGAAAATATTCCAGTAAAAGGCTAGAGAGAGGAAGGAGAAGATCCTTGAAATCAGGGTGACAGGCTTTTTTTTTTTTTTCTAGATGGCATTGGGGAAATCAGTGTCTTGTCCTTAAATTTTCAGACTGCTGCAAAATTTGTCAATCTCCCCTAGAAGGCCTGACTGAGTGGCAGGTCTTCACATGCGTGAATTATTCAGAGTTGCTGAAGTGGTCTTGATGATCCCTGCAAGGGGGTCCTGTGTGTATGGATGGTAAGACTGGAGATTAGTCTTGTGGGTTTGATTAGAGACTGGGAGCCTTTAAGCCTTTATTTAGCAATTAAAAAACAGAGCCTTGAAAACCACTGTGATCTTAGAGCTGAGCAATGGATGAGAAAAATAACATTTACTAGAAGGTTTAGTTAAAAAGAAAAAACAAAACCTCCACACAAAACAGTTTATCCCATGAGTAACGCAGTTTATCCCAAGTGTTGCATCCCAGCTGTTCTGCATTTATTATGTTCTTGCTATCCTTATTTGAGCTAAAAACTTTCAAAAGAATAAACTTTTTTGTTGACTTTGGTTTAGCAAAGGCTATTAACCATAGAATCATAGAATATCCTGAGTTGGCA